TTCGTTCAAATGTTTCTTAACTTATTTCATAACCCTGGATGCTATCCCTGAAGCCAACATTTTCAGGAAAAATTAATATTTCGGTTCATGAAAATTCAGGGTAGGCGACAAATTCCGACCCCCTTGAGTTTAAAATCCGTCCCTTAGACAACATTTAGAAATAGATTGGTTTTGGATCTATGCCATTCGAGGAGAAAAAAATGATAAGGTCATTCGCGCTTCGAGGCCAGGCATTTGTGCAACTTTGTTGAAAAAGACAGATTGAAATTATTTTTGTGTTCGAGTATGTAGTGTACACTGAAAACTTCCAGTGTTAAAAGACACAAAAAAGTGAGTCTGGCCATCGCCTGGGTGACACGAAATAATGTGTGATGAGTCTTGACACATAAGTGTGTCATTTGGCACATCTTCCTGCAAGCGACACAGGCCAAAATGTGCCGGATGACACGAACGAGTTTTAGCAGATGGACAGGTGTCAACTGACACACGTGAAAAAAAAGTCTAGCTACAGAATGTGTCATTCGACACACTCGTGACGTGACGTTTTCAGGACCAATATGAAGAAATTCTTTCAGGATACATATAAGATTGTGACATGATACATTATAACGTGTCATTTCCCTCAATGCAGGAGGGCTTCCTTTATGGAAGGGTCAGAATTTGCCTCACTTACCTTAGTATTAGCGTTTATTAGGTTTACATAATGCTATCTGATTGGAAAGAAAGTTCTCGGAATTTCTTGAATATCCAGTACAATTTTTTTCCAGAGCATGCTAGAATGTTCTGCGTGTGTTTATAAGTAGGTCGTGTCCTTCGGCATACAACCGTATATTATTACAGCCCTGGTGCTCTCCAGCCATGAACCAGCCCTACCCTCTTACTAAGGAGCAAGTTCGCCTGCTTCTTCTTTATGACTTCCGAATCGAGAAGAAGGCAGCCAATTCCATCGCTGACATCAATACCGCGTTTGGCCCGGACACTGTGTCCAAGAGCACTGCCTATGATTGGTACAGTCGCTTCCAGAAAGGAAATGAAAGCCTGGAAGACCAGCCACGCACCGGTCGTCCTTCGGAGTTTGATAACTCTGCCTTGCAGGAGGCACTGGAGGCCAACAACCGGCAAACATCGCGAGAGCTTGCGGACTTGCTGGGTGTCTCCCATACAACTATCCTTCATCATCTGGCTGAGCTTGGCAAGAAGGCAAAGTTGGGGTGCTGGGTACCCCACAAGCTGGACGATCGGGACCGCCAGCGACGAGTAGACATGGCCATCTCCCTTCTGTCACGTTCGCGCCGAACGGATCGGCTAGACTCAGTGGTGACAGGCGACGAAAAGTGGACCTTCTATGCCAACATTCGACGAAAACGTCAGTGGGTGGACGCCGGAGCATCGGCCGAAAGAGAACCCCGTCAGGAGTTGCACCCCAAAAAGATTATGCTCTCGGTCTTCTGGGATTCGAAAGGCATCATCATGTTTGAGCTGTTGCCGCAAAACACCACCATCACTGCTGCCTACTACTGCCAGCAACTCGATCGGCTGCAGCAGAAACTGGCTGAAACACGCCCAGAAAGACAGAGAACCATCCTCCTCCACGACGATGCCCGGCCGCACACCGCTAGACAGACTCATCTAAAGTTACTGGACCTGTGCTGGGAGGTGCTGCCGCATCCGCCCTACAGCCCCGACCTTGCCCCGTCCGATTATCACCTTTTCGTTGCCCTGGACCGTCACATGGGTGGAAAGCAGTACGCCAACCAAGACGACCTGAAAACCGATTTGGCCAACTTTTTCGTAGCGCAGCCGCCAGAGTTCTATTGGAATGGCATCCATAGTTTGCATAAACGTTGGCGTGAAGTGATAGAGGCCAATGGTGATTACATTCAGGATTGAGATGATTTTGCTTTTAAATAAACTGGGTTGTAATAATTGTTCATGTAATTCCGAGAACTTTCTTTCCAATCAGATATGTTAATAATGCTGTAGCATTTGTTAACTTGGTTTTTCTTTATAACGCTGAGTGTTAAGCCTGAAGCTTGTGTCGAAGGAGAAACATCGGTATTAAATGCGAAACGAACAGTTTCTCCAGCTTGAAAATGACCCAATGACGACGCGGGAAATATGGCTGGTGATGGTGTGGACTGCATTGCTATCAGACGCCACTCTCAATCGGAATTCTTCATCTCTCTTCGTCTGTCTCGCTTGGAATTAGGACTCGACAGGATATAGACCCCAATACCTCACTTCGGTCTATACGAGGCATCGGGCGCACCATAAGGGAGAGATTGCATCACACACCGAAGAATCTTCTTTTACCGCCGAGATATGCTGGTCCATCGTCATATTTGTCCTCCATCACGATCTGGATCATAAACCTGCCCCTCTGCCCCCTTATCTCAGATCCTTTTCAGTGTCTTCCCTGTACGGACGTTTGCGCTGGCTCGCAACAGAGATCTTCACCAGTGGTATGCAGCAGCGGTTTCCTTCTGGAACCTTGCTTGTGATTGAGTGAAGTGGGAGCTGGAAATCGCTTCGTGGCAATGCGTGATCGGTGAATCCGTTGCTAGAGCTTCTCTGTAGAGTTTGTGTTTATTGTTGCGACTCGATACGAGAGTGTCTATACTGTATATATGTATATCTATAGCTAAATAACTTTACCATAAATTAGTCGAAAGTTGCGAATCGACCGTTGGGACTCGATCTACCATCTCATACGGGTTTATTTGCTAGGATGATGGTGATGGAATGGGGTCAGAGATCCATCATAAGGGTATGCCGCTCCGTTTTCTTGAACGTTCAGGCCTTTCACACGGCATGCATGAATGCCGCAACTGCGGATTGCTATTCGAAACGTCGGATTTTCTGACGGAATCACGGGTGTTCGATTGTGATCTACCGGAAATCTTGATTTATCAATAATCAAATGGGAATGCGATTAAATACGAGGGTGATTAAAATATGACCTGGATTCTACACATTCCAGGGCATGTGCACTAGTGTTACAAGTACTTACCCTATTTCTCTACATTCTCCCCTTCACATGCACACCCTTCTCCAATCGATGTGGAAGGGCCTGTACACCTGTAGCATAGAAGTCTTCCAAACAGATGCACAGCCATTTGAGTACATCTTCCTTGTCAGCATGTTACTACAGAGTTTCATTCCATCCAAGTGTTCATACTAAAACGAGCCAGACAAACGGAAGTCACATAGCGACTAGCCTGCACTGTAAACGGATGTGGAAGTACTTCCCAGTGCATGTCACACTGAGTACCTGTAGTACATTTACGCAGAGTACGATCGACAGATATTGCTGAGCGTGAGCATTGAGGCTCATTTGTTACCCTTTCTCAGCCCTCCTCGAACACCTGCACCATTGAAACACTGTTGAATGTGTCATTCACGTCGAAACTGTGTCACTAAACGTCAGCGAATTTCGGCTGCTCTCACGCTATCATAAATCAAAACCTACTTATAACACGTATTTCGTGACAATGGATACGGCATCATTTTGTCATACTCCCACTATGTTGAACAGGACAGAGTACCTTTGTTAATGCCGTGCTAAACTAATTTTTCCACGAACACAATGCCTCTATGAACGTATCTGAACTTTCTTCAAGGAAAAGTCCTGGTCGTCAAATTTTGAATCAACCTCGTAATTTGAAGAAAAAAAATCACTTTAAAACGATTGCCTCGTGCTCCTCTTTCCAACCAAAACCAAAACTTGACCGCTCATTTGTTGCTTGTCATGTGCTGAATGAGGAGATATATCCCCATTGGGAATTTGTAGAAATATTTTTAGGCTTACATTATGATATATTAGAATTGTACCGATTTCTTCTATCAGATTCCGGAAATGCAAATATTCCCGGAATTAATTCGATGGAAGGAACATAAGTGTTGAAGTGTTGACTACCCATCATGCTAAAATCTCAATTAATTTAGATAACCGAGTTCAACAAAAAGGCTAAATTACTTGGGTTAAAAATGGAACGACCTAACAGTTCATTCCATTTCCGTGAATTGGTCCTCAGCGGCTAAGAGTGAGATCCCAAAGATAGGAGAGGGTATCCATAGGTAAAGGGACAAAGGTGTTTATTAGGTCATACATACGAATGAATTTGGGAATTACTTTCTACCCTTAATCTGTTATGACTGCCATGCACTTCTTTCAATGGTGAACCAGCTTCCATAAACCAGTTGCAAAAAATTATTTTAGCTCAAAAAGAAACACACACTACCTGTTACATCTCTTTGTCGCTCTCAAAGCGGCGAAAAGGTGCAACAAGTAGTGTCGCTCTCGAAGGACTCACTTCGACAGGGAAATGTGATGGAAGTCGCGAGGCGCCAGGTCCGAAATGTGTCATCCGTGGGGTACATCCTCCCACCCCAATTCCTGAATGGCGATAAGTGTGCAGTGTGCAGAACGTGGTCATTCACTGTCAAGTTGCAGTAGCATGCCACGTACCAGCAATCCAGATTTACTGCGAATGTTTGTACAGAAGTCATTCAGTAGCATTTCACTTTGAGACGCACTTGTGACAGCAGTCCTATACAGGAATGCTACGATCACGCAAATCCAGTCCCAAAGGAACTATTGCCATCACTTTGCTCTCCGAACGTGTGTACCTAGTCTACACACCAGCCATGTTTCATTTCGTTGACATACATCATTGGATGTGTGATTTATAATCAAACGAAGTATAATAATGTCGAGCGATACCATTTCTGACGTAGGGGACAGATTGCATTCCTGTCTCTATCTCATGGACAGTTGCAACTATTAATATTTTACTTTACTTTTGGATACCCTCTCGTGTTTTTAGTCTGAATACTTTTGTCACTCCCGCCGGGTCATGCCGGCGTAGTTTAGACTTAAGTGTGCAATTGCCATTCGAATCTGGAGCCATGAACCTAAAGAAAGCTTTTTCGTATCGGGGGTTTCCATTATCAAAGGTTTCACAGTGCCATAACTTCGGTATGATCCATGGTATCATTTGAATTTTTCCCTGTAGATGAGGAATCCCCCTTTTGTCCCTCAGATGAAATTTAAATGGGGGCATTAAGAACAGTCTCTAGAAGCAAGAGACTCATGGCGCGTGGATATCCCAACCCGATTTCCATTACGGGACTAATGCCCTTGCTGCAGGCTCCTGTAGTGGAAGACCCGCCGGAAGTATTCTCCCGGGAGCCCCGAGATCCTCCAAGTGCCATTCCAAGTGAGACCCTGAAACTTACTTGCGAAAAAAAAATTAAAGTCGAGCAAGGTGGTAAACCCAGAGGAAAAAAATATTGGTTTTGGGTTTGTGACCTGTTCTGCGTCGGAGGATCCCAGGTCCTTCTTATCTTATCTTCCGTGTTAAAAAAAAGTCTGTATTATATTGAGCGTCATGACATGAGGGTAATTGAGGTTACTCCACCGTTCTAAACTGAGGGAGTTATGAGAGTAGTCATGAGAGCAACAGTCATGAGGGAAAAAATGTTCTACAGACCCCAGCCCACTTTTTATCAATTTCCCCGCTCGATCTACACCTGCAGCGATATAAGAATTTCCTTATATGACTTCTCTGTGGGCTTCTGAGAAGTAAACATTGAGTTTGGCTTCAATTGCCTTCCATATTTTTAGTGAGCCACTGTTCCATACAGAAAGAAGCCTGCTTATGGTCCCGTTCTCTACGTGTATATCTGCTTGGCCGCCTATCTGTCAACTACCTGCCTCCCATTTTCGTTGCGGATATAAGTTTATTAATTTTAACCTGGTTACTGTAAAAGCTTCCCTTACGGAAATGTCCTATAGGAAACCTATAGACTTTCCTATAGGTTTTTGAAACACGAAAAACCTATAGGATCCCTATAGGGTCTTATATCTATAGGTCTCCTGACCTATAGGATTCAGGGAGCTATAAAACCCAAAGCTTTGGGTCCGTAATGCTGCCTTTTCCGCTGGCCCCACTTATTACCGCGTGCATTTCGGTGTAAATAAAAAACCGATTAGGGGTTTTTCCATGGAAGGGACACATGCATTATTAATACCAGTAATGCGGGGGTCTGCATAATTTATGGCCCTGCCGTACATGTGCCGCTGGATTGCATGTCTACCTCCTTCGGTAGGAAGAAGTAGTATTCTTCTCTCGACCAAAGGAAATAGAAGAAAACCAGCGAGCACGTCTCTTTACTGAAACATCTTTCGGAGAGAGTCTATTCAGTTTCGTACGTGGTTTTCAAAAGGAATGGGGGCATATTTCTTCACGGGACTCCATGATTATATCTGGAAAATGGGGATGACAAATAAGGAACTGTTGAAGTTTATTGATTGCTACATCCCAATACTTCCATCTAGTGGCCTAGAGGAGAACTTCAAACCGAACCCTATAGGCCTAAGGATTCCGTATAAGACCTATAGGGAACCCTATAGGTCCTATAGGGTTCCGTATAGGCACTATAGGGAACCCTATACGCCCTATAGGGAACCCTACAGGTCCTTTAGAGAATCCTATGGGTCCTATAGCGAACCCTACAGGTCCAATAGGGAACCCTATAGGGCGTATAGGGAACCCTACGGGTCCTATGCAGAACCCTTTGTGTCCTATAGGGAACCTATTGGCCTTATGGGGAACCCTATTGGTTCTATAGGGAACCCTATTGGTTCTATAGGGAACTCTAAAGGTCCCAAACTGATCTCTATGGGGCATATAGGATCCTATAGGATTCCTATAGGATTCCTATATATTCCTTTAGGAATTCCTATATATTCCTAAAGGAATATATAGGAATCCTATAAGACATTTTCGTAAGGGTTGCTATGGAGATACATAGGTAAAATGTGCAGTTTGCGCGAATTTAAGCATTTCACTCACTAAACCACCAACCTTCCTAAATCTCGACTGAATGCGCACTTGCAACTCTCTCAGTCTGGGTCACGGTGTCGCGTTACCGACCAGAGCTGCCAGTTTCCTCACAGCCCTCGTCGCTACGGGCCAAATGTTGACAAACGGAGGGAGAGGCAGCTGTACTGGCAGTGAACAGGGTTGCTAGCCCAACATGTAAAGACCACATCTGGCAATTCTACTCGGAGTACTCTCATTCCAATTCCCAACCTCTGCCTACCTGCCACATCCTCCTCCTGTATCCAAAAATCTTGTGATGAGAGGCCCACCATTGGACTGAACTTCCACATATTGTTTTTCCATGTCCCCACCGTGACATTTCCTTCGGCCTTTTCGTCAAGTACCTTTGAGAAATACCTAACCACAAGGTTCTGAAATTGCCTCACGGGGCATCGCTCGCAAGCATGGGTATGACTCAAGCCGAATACCGTCATGGTGACGCATGGAGTAATACAATGAAAGCAACTCTGCAGGTTCGCTGGAAACGTGAACACAGGCAGATTCCCTTTTATGCGTGTTCCGCCGAGCCACATATGATCACTCTCGTTCCCCATTGCAAATCCTTTTGTGTTTGGATCCACGTTACACTTCCAACTGCGTGTTTTATGCATCGGTGTCTTCTATCTTTTCCGAGGTCGTACCGACATCCAGGTATTGTGTTCATCCTTGAAATTCGATTTGTAGTGAATAATCTCTGGATAACCTCTGAAGGTTTAACCCCTCTAGATGTAGCCTCTCAAGGCTCTCAATTGCCTCTCCATCTTGCCTTACCGGCAATTGCTTTCTGACACGAAACGATTTGACTTATTTTTCGAATAACCGCATGATCATGTTCACGTAACTGCAAAAATTTGTGGATATCATATTCGAGAGACTCTTCTGTCAAAACTTTAAAGTTGTTTTCCTTAAAATTCTCCAGAACCTTAAAGAAAATCGAGTGTAAGGTCATGGGTCATGGGTAATCGCGTGCCAAGGGGGAGGGGGAGCTTGAGGGTCATAACCCCCCCCCCCCCCCTTGGAATACATTTAAAAGGTCCAATTCTCAAACATTTTTAAATTTGGCCATAAATACAGGGTGGGTTACCAATTTTACAAATGCCAACCCCCCCATTGAGATAATCGGCCTCCTCCAAATCACAGCCGTGTTTCATTTGGCCTGCTGGGTTTTCCGCCTCTTGCAACCTTTAGCTCAGGGTTGCACAACTCAAAGGACTATTTACTATTTTTACTCACATCGCGGCGGCAGTCTGACTGACCATAGCTGTGGTCGACGGGGCTGAAGCCATAGTAGCACGTACAACGCCACCAGTCACGGCGGGTCACGAGCAAGTGCCCCGCGGGCCGTATGTTGTGCACCCCTACTTTAGCGCAAAGCATACATTTTTGCACTCGAAGAGACCAGCTACACTGTCGCCCGTGTGAAAGATTCGAATTTGCGAGGCAACGCGAGTGATTGAGGGAAAATGTTTTCCTCAATTCTTTGCCTTTCGTTCATTCTTTCGATTTTCTTGCCTATGAAAATAATATTGCGAAAGTAGAATGCAAGAATCGTGTGGTATCACGCCCCTGAATGAAAAAGAAGTTGGAGATCATGAATGGATCGCATGAACGAAAAAATTAATTGTCCCAGACGTGAGAAACTGTATGGACTATGTGTACAGCTGCTGTGTGTAGATGTCGCTCCATTAGTGTCCAGAAAGCGACTATCTACGGGCAAATTTTTTATTATTGACAGTGAAGCAGCCTTTTCTTAATGTTTGAGCGATATTCAATTCAAGTTGTTCAGGTCTCTGGGCTTGTCCTTGCAAAAAATGCTATTTTCTCCCTCGTTTCGAAATGCTGTACTCCGTATATCTGAATCTGTAATTGAAAAAGAAAAAGGGGGAGGGGGGGGGGGTTCCCCCAGATTCAGTGTGAAAAATTTGCCCATAGGTGATCACTTTATGGACACCTTATGCATCTGAAGAAGTGAGGGACGGTATCAGGAGTATTAGATGGATCGATGCCACATATTTATCGATATTTCACCGTCTGTGTATAAGACTCGGTCTTCCGACTCCCAGTTGACTTGTCACGTCAAGCCGAATCCTACTGACGTCAACTGAAACGTGAAAAAAGTCTCGCAACAGAATGTGTCAGTCGACTCATGACACGTTTTTCGGGACCAATATGAAGAAATTATTTCGGAGTGTCAAATGCCATTTCGTGTCATTTTTCTCTGGGTAGAGTGGACAAAAGAACTTCAACTAAAGCTCTCTAATGGACAGCTTCACTTCAACAAACCAAGAGCATTAGCACAATATTTCCAATTCGCATAAAGAAGATGAATCAAGAAGAAACGAGGAGTAGGAGATGTTAACGAGGGGAAAATGACAGGAGTCACTTGCGCACACTCTCGCGGGACTTTTCCCGGGACCTGGAATTACGGCATGGGAGAAATAGGAAGGTCGGAAGACCAGTCTTTTTCATGGGCACTACGCAAAGTTAACTAAGATTATGTCCACGAATCCGAGTCATGTTCCCGGGAAAATTGAAAACTTCTGTTTCAGAAATGATGCTCTTGAGAAATGTTATTTGACTATTGGCATACTGTGGGGGCCAAAATAGTTGCATAGCTCGGGATTTTCAAACTTAGTTTTACTTTGGTAACTTTGGTGGCAAATTTGACATGAAATTCTCCACTTGTGTCATTTCAATGGGTATTTTGTGTATTCTTGGAATCGCTTATTATTTCGGCATTGGCTCAATTTAACCAAAGAAAGAGTTTATTCTATGTTCTTCAGATTTGAGGAAAATTTGATTTGATATTCATTTCAAAATAAGATGTTAAAATGAATATTTTAATTTTATTTATTACTGAAGTATCGCACAGATGCGCATTCATTCGTGACCATATTCATGTATTATAGCATATTGTTCATCTTCATATGGCCTTCCTTCATGACATGATGTCGTGCCCTGACATGACATTTTTCAAGGTGACTGTCTCCAATTATGATCGGGTAGCAACTGGCCTATATTCTTCAGGTATGACCTGTTTTGATGATGTTTTAATAATGGGTGAAATAAAAGCAAATATCCAAAAGTATGTGCATTGCATTAGCTAAGTCAAAGAAATGTGAATTGCAAGATGATTCAATAATTTTGGCCAGCACTATGAAGAACCCAACTAATGAGCATTTTTGCTGCAAGCTAGGTGCAGCATGCAGCAAAAGACAGTGGCAAGACGAAACATTTATAAGATTTCTCGTTTTATGTGGAATCTTGGTCCTATGATCCGAAAAATAAGTCAATCGATGTCGGATAGGAAGGAACGCGTATGCTTCAACAAGTTTTCCTCCGGCACTGTAAGCGAAAGCGGGAAGGTAAGTTTATTCTTTCGGATGAATCGATATATGTTCCAAATATTCGCATATGCCACGAAGTTCTGGATAATGAAATTTTACTCAATTGTGGTTGTAGTATTATTATCGGGAAAAAAATGAACGTTTCGGATAAAAGTGTGAATTGGTTGAGCCGAATGCATGCGTACTGTTGAAGTTTTATTATAGTTTGTTGTTCCGGGATTAAAAAAAAATGTAAAGGTACCCGGTAAACGATCAGACATGGATAGCTCATACTTTCGATTGATAATGCTTTATGGTATATCATAAAAAAAATACTGGGGTCGTTGTAGGGAAACTCGGACTTTCTTGTGCTGTGATAAAAGATCGGGCACATGCACAGAATCTCGCCTATTTCTCAGAGTACCTGTCTGCTATATCGATGCACTTGCCTCATCCTTTCACGAGTACCCAGATAACTGTTGCATGTAAATATTTGAGCAGACCTCGAACGTACGACATAATCTGGTGCTTAATCTCTGCTGCAGCGCTACATGCGCCTCGAAGGATCTGAACTCCCGATCGTGACTTGGGGCTCAGCCGAACAAATTAACCCTGGAACTGCCCGAAGCAGCACGGCGACCTACCAACGTCGATTTCATCGACGGTTAGCAGTTCTAGAGTTAAGTCGTTCCCCTCACTTTCGAACCTGTTATCCTTTTCGTGCATGAATTTTTAAAGTAAAACAGAAATATGCATTTTTTGGTTTAACGTTTAAAGAGATACTCTGCCGTTGTAGTCGCGTGTTTCACCGCTAGAAAGCAACACCGAACAGATTATGTGCTCATGAGTTGACTGCACGCACCAAAAGTTTCGAGGCCTGTGTACCATGGCTGAAAAGCCATCATCATTGCCAAACATTTTGCCGTCCACTACAGTGGACACCATGCACGAAAGGATTATTCGGCTCTACGCATAAATTTTACGTTCCCGTGACTGACGCATGAGCAACCATGTTCTCAAGCGCCTTTGGAAGGACATTTTCGGAAATTCAAGGACTCGAGAAATTCTGTTTCCTCACTCCCCATATTCATCTAATTCTGTTCTGTGATGTTCAGACGGCTCGGTCACATCGCCGGCGCGTTGTCTCCCCCTCATGAAATCGTGGGCACCGCTCATTCACACTTCACCATTATAGGGTAGTATCACCATACTTATCTGAAAGTCTACCGTGAATTTCAGCAGGATTCATGACTCCCTTCCTGACATAAAGCACGATAACGCGCTGTCCCTCTCTGAAACTGATACAGGTAGGCGCCATCTTGAATTTAATCCTTGAAGTCGATTCTGAGACGTCGGCGTTTCAAAGAACTTCTGTATCAGTCAACATAACGCGTTAAAATTTACATGAAACCACATGCACTGCTGCCATATGTAGGTTTCCTTCGAACCACCCACCTAATTTAGAGCGAAAGTCGAAAGCTCTGTTGATATGGATGGCGAATGCTCGCCTGCTTCGCGGGTGCTTCCTCGGAAGGGATACAGCGAGGGAAGGGATTTTGTTTCCGCTTCGTCTGATACATTGCATCACTCATTTTGCTCTAGTCAATGAGTCCTATTATTTCATTGCCGAGGACATGTCATAGTATGATAGATGTAGTTCATTTAGTCCAAAACAGATGGGATTCCTAAATACAAAGAAGAAATGCGCCTGGAAGTGTCCGGCGTGTACGTGAAAGGTGACTAGTTCATCGGGAACGGGCTTTTTCAAAACAATATTTCTGTGAGGCACCTTCGTGCCTCTTGGTTCGACTTTAAATATTTTCATAACAGCGTAAAATTCGTAAAAATTTGTCAGGAGAAGGAAACCAGGAGGGGAAGTAGCCCACTTGTCCATGCGTGTGGACGGATAATTTATCCCCCTGACGCAGCTGTTCGTTCTGCCACCAACTTGAGTGCGGGTAGGTCCCATGGAAGTGACTGCATATGAAGGCAAGATTGTCGACTCGAAGCGTCGGACGTACTTTTTTTAAATTTTCCATTCTCGACGAAATTTAGCCGGCGCTAATGTCTCTTTCGGACGGCAGTGGGCGAAAGTGCCGGTGGCGGCGGGGCGAACAGCGGGAAGAGCGTCTTGGGGATCGTCTTGGTGGGGGTGGGGGCGACCCTGGTCCTCATCCTCATCCTCGTCTGCCTCCATCGACGCTGGTTCCGCAAGGACAAAATCGGCGACGGGAAGTACGTGCCCAGGATCGTCGTTCAGTCTCCCTCCGGCAGTTTCCTTCCTCCGTTCAACGCGTCCGCCTCCTTTCCGACGGCAAGTTTTCTCCTTTACTATTCGCCATCCTGTGATTCTTCACGGACATCTGAAATCCATCCATAGATAGCGAGTAGTTCCTCTTGGTTTTTCAGGTTTTTTTTTTTGCAATCACTTACTGAGAATGCTTCTCTATGAGACCTGAAAGACTCAACGCAGTGTTCCAATTGAAAATTTCATTTTGCGGAACGCTACAAACAGAAACTTAATTTTTTTTAGGCAGCTAAACAAAATTTATGTTAAGGAAATAAAAAAAATTCGAAGAATAAGAAATCGATATCGATAACTGAGTAAATCAATGCGAAATGTAAATCCGTATTCACGTCATGAAACAGAAATCGAATGAAATGACGAAACGTCTCCCGCAGAAGTGGAAGAACCCACTGCCCTACACGGAATCCGAGCCGCTCTACCCCGCCCTCCCGCCGTCCCACCACCAGGACCCCATCCCGCGGATCTCCTCGCGGTACAACATCGCCTTCGACATGGACCCGGAGGCCCTCGACCGGAACCTGTACGACTTCCCGGTCTCGCCGACCGTGGACACGCTGTCCCGCGGGAGCTGCGGGATCCCCAACAGCGACTCCGCCATGTCGCTCGGCGTCGGACTGGGCCGCCTTGGCTTCTCCATCTCGTACAAGGTGCAGGACCAGGAACTGTCCGTTCTCGTCGTCGGCGCCTCCAATCTCCCTGCGAAAGGTTCCTACTTTTCCGCTTCTCTTTGGATCGGTCCCATCTCCTTAGTCTACGAGATTGAGAATCCCTTGGGATAATTGCATTCTTTTGAATGCTTCTTGGTTTGAATTAAAGGTCATTCCAGCCTAAATCGCCCAAAGATCTGTGACATTACTATATCCAAATTTTTTAATTAATTTTTTTCCTCAAAGGCATTGCTGAGAGAACCTTACCGCCAGAAGTTCAGCTTCCTGCTACGAAAATACCAAGTTTTCAATCTTTGATTTTTTTAAAAATATGGGGTGGAATTTATGCTCATTGATGTAAAAAAAAAAAAAAAAAAGGGAGATGGTAGGGCTAGAGCTGCTTATTCCGCCCCTGATTCTCATTTCGTCCCCTGGAAGTAACTTCAATTAACATCGCTATCTATACTACGGAATGGAAAGCGCAAATACCCCGAAGGGGCGAAGTGTGTAGCACTTCCCCTAGCGCCACAACTTTTTGGTCTTTTTGGGTGAATTAGGCTGGATATTAGGAAATCTTTAAAACGATTAGTTATATTCAGAGTTCGCAAACCTTGGATCATGTCCTGGCTGTGTGGCGACTGATGCAGTGAGGAAGGGATCCGCAGACCCGTACGTGAAGATCACGATCCTGCCGGAGAAGTCGCCCAAGTACTCGACGAAGGTGAAGCGGAACTCCCTGAACCCCGTGTTCGAGGAGGAATTCCCCTTCGCTCTCCGCAAGGGGCAGATCAACGGGAGGGTGCTCAAGATCACGGTCTGCGACTACGACAAGTTCTCGCGCAGGTGGGTAGTCAACGCTTCGATCCTGTTTTTTTCATGCTTCGATTTTGCATTTTGTCGTGTTTTGATGCTCGTTTCGATTATCGTTCGACGATAATCCGGATCTGGCGGATCCGGAATCAAGATTCCACTCGAGTCGCACTCCGGAATGATTTCCGGAGTGCGAGAGAAACGATTCATTCCGGAGTTGCACTCCGGAATGAATCGTTTCTATTCACATTGGAGTGGTTCCGCCAGCTTTGCGGATTCGATTCGGATCCGAGGACTTGCTTCTGATTCTTCCCTTAAGTTTTGCCACTTTTCTCCGCTGACGTCATTCAACGGCATGGAATTCGGTGTAAATTGCTCGGAATTCGCTTCTGACTTTCGGGATCCCGTGGAGAGATTCCAATCCCATTCGACCTGATGGGATTCTTGTCGGATCCAAATTTCCGAAATATGAAAGGATGATTTCACGTCAGGATTCGAATCTCTCTATATATAAAGAAGAAAGTCTGTCTGTCTGTTCCTTTATGCATTCGGAGCCCGCAGGAGCCAATGCAACCAAACTTTGTATGGCCTCTTTCATCCAGTGGAAGGTCGAGGGCTATGTTTCTATCCAAAAATTTTACTCCCAGTTTACTCTTCCGTGGTACTGTAGTGTGTGGGATGGCATCGAGAGGCTTCTGGATTCGGTGGTGCGGTGGTAGCACACCTGACCGGCGATTAGGAGGCCCGGGTTCGATTCCCGGCCCTCCCCTGCCTTTTTTTCGTTCTCTCATGCCATCCAGCTCTCCCATCCCGGCCACCTGCATTACATTACCCCGGGGTAATCCCATTGCTGGATCACTACATTAAATGAAATATTTAAGTATTGAATTTCCCCGGGCAACGCCGGGTACTTCAGCTAGGATCCTATAATTAACAGCTGCAGTGGGTGAAAAACACGAAATGAAGTAAAATCGAATGTACTCGTTGCAAGACGCAGTCATGTTAAAATACATTCGATTTTATTTTTATCTCAAGCATCCCACACATTATTTATAGCACTACGTAATTACATGATGCCAATTTGTTATTCAGGGTAATCTGAACATTGTATGCAACAACAGTGCGCGGATGCCAGATGTTGCTCGCAGGATCTGCGCCCCATTCCCTATTTTCCATAAAAGCACTTGTATTTCCATATACGTCTTGCGCATACTTAATATGTACTTTCCATAGAAGCAGTTAGTGTGTGATCCGGCAACATGCCTCTCGAATTAGGACTTTCCAGTCAGCTGTGTTGTGCGGTTCCCTGGGGTGCACGTGGCTGAGGTGCTGTTGAGGTTGAGGTGCTGGGTGTGGAGGTGCTCCGTCTCGCGGTATCACCGACTCAACCTCCACATTCGAGAATGCGCTTGCAATCGAGGGTCGAACCTCGTTTCTCGACATTGCAAGGTGCCGATCTTCGTTACGGCCCGACCAGACCCTGCATGCCGCGTCGCTGTCACGTCTGGTGCATGAGGAAAGGAAGAGGCGGGAGGAGAAGGGGGGGTGGGGGGGTGGAGGACGTAGGACCGCATTTCGATTGCTTCAGAATGCTTGACGGGGAAGTTCGCTTCATGTACGATTCTTGCGGGAGGACTCAGTGTGGACTCAGCACTACGGATTTCTCAGCTGGTGTCGCAATGTTGACAGCGGTTGCTGCTGCTGGACGTCCTCTTCGTGGCTCGTCGGCGACGGTTGCGGTTGCATCAAATTTCAGATGGACACTCGCTAATTTGTCCGTCGGGAGGTTTCTGTATCGCACATCTTTTCTCGACGTTCTCTCGCGGTTGCCTGTTGTCGTTAGATGTGCCGCGTCGCCTGCAACGGGTCGAGAGCGATATTATGCCTAGAGATTTTTAGACTTCCTTGTACGATCAGTCGGTTCTCGAACCCCGACGTCAACCTCTCACGTGACGTGAAAAAAAAATTCGGTCGACGCAGGTACACGATCGGCTACGTGTGCTTCCCGCTGAGCGAGGTGGGACTGACGAACGAAACGACAGAGGACATCCGGACGGGCGAGATCTGGAGGGACATCAAGGAAGCGGTGGAGTTCACCATGGCGGAGCTGCACAAGGGGGAGCTGCTGCTCTGCCTCAAGTACGAGCCCGAGCCGGGACTGCTCACGCTGGACGTCATCCAGGCTCGGGAGCTGAAGCTGTACGACAAGGACACGGGTGAGTGCGTCTTCCATCGACTCGATCGCTTCTCGTGACGTGGCGAATTTTTTATTTTAATGCTGGGAGGCCCGAGACGATGTCGTTCCAGTTGTGCCAAGCGCGCCTCTAAACATAGGTATAAGTTCTAAGACGGAATGACTTGGAAATAAAAGAAGAAACAAAAGCATCGAATGTTGCGCTCTTCGGTTCTTCGCTTGCGAACCAAACTCCAGGTCACTGGAATCAATCATTTTGGAACGATTCTGAGTGACATACGACATACAATTTTTGTATTGCCATATATTTCATGTCATTCCCCATAATTGATTTACGAGAGGGGTGTCCGCATTCATTGATCGATTTTCGGGTCATGGATTAGTCAAGTTGAACATAAATAAATTTTGGTGTTAGGAAACTCTTTGGATTACTCTTAAACTTAAAAGACCTCTCTTTGGATGTCATGCGATTATCTTGAGTAACTCATTCGCCCCTTGAGGCTTGAGTTTGTGCTTAAATTTCAGCTCTCCATGAGACGAAGTCGTCGAAATTGGAAAGGAAGTGCGTTTTACGCTCTTAATCAGTTTTATCTGGAACTCTATGATCCAACATCCATGAAAAACTGCTAAGTACTGCTTTCCGGCGGTGAAGTCATTGAGAATGATTCAAGTCATAACGATATCCGATTCGGATTCTGTTCACCGTGATAGAGACCTCTTAAAGGTTCTCTACTAAGGTTTGGGACCTACTCTCTTAAGTACTTGTTTTGCGATCCGACCATCACCAGAGATCCAAGTCCGATACAATACCAGCGTGGCACCGTCGAGAGATCTTTAAGAGAGTCGCCAAGACCGATGCTGACCGTCCGCGTTCTCGACAGACTCGGTGTACGCGAAGGTGACGCTCCACGAGGGGAAGCGGGTGATGAAGCGGAAGAAGACGGTGACCCGGAAGAAGACGGAGGACCCGATCTTCAACGACACGTTCACGGCCCCCCTCCCTCGATCCTACCTCTCCGATGTCTACTGCACCGTCTCCATCTGCTCCAAGAACCGACTCGGTGAGACGGCAACTGCCAACATCCGCTAGAACTTCCGGTCTAGCTCCAGTGTTCTCATTTGTTCAGCATCATTTTGGTTCAATGACGTTCACATGACAATCTCTCTTCAGAATAAGCATTAGTCCGTTAGGAAGATTTCCGGGCCCATTCTCGCCATAAGAGGATGAGCTTACTTCCCCCCCCCCCCCCCCCCCCCACCCCCCCACCCCCCCCCCCCCCCCC